CATGGCCACCACCCCCCCCCAGCCCATCGCCCAGAAGCCAGAAAGTGCCCGGGTCACCAGCCCCACAGCCGGGGTGAAGAGACTCACCCTGGCCGGGGTGGAGGCTTTCATCCTCTCCAGCCCGCCCCCGGATCCCAACCGTGGGGCTAAGGTCATCCGGGCGGATCCCCAGGGACGCCGGCGGCACAGCTCGGAGACTTTCTCCTCCACCACCACTGTGACCCCCGTGTCCCCTTCCTTTGCACATAACCCCAAACGGCACAACTCGGCCTCGGTGGAGAACGTGTCCCTCAGGAAAAGCGAAGGCCTGGAGGAGGAGCAGGGCAGCAGCCCCATGTGCCGGGAGACCTCTGCTGGCTTCCAGAATGGCCTCAACTACATCGCCATAGACGTGGTGGATGGGAGCCTGTCAAACTGTGACAGAGTCCGACCCAAAGGCAGACATGCCCTGAATGGGGACATCAATGGAGTGGAGACCAGCGCCTATGCCAGCATAGACTTCCTGTCCCACAACCTGAAAGAAGCAACTGCTGTGAAAGGTGAGTAGTAGGTCACTGTCCCAATGTGCTGCTGTTAGTATTTCTAGGGACTGTTGCCCTGTAGAGCACGGTTTCGCTCTCTCTCACCCTCTCTTTCAGTTCTTGTAAGCTTTGCAAATAAAACATCCAGTAGTAAATCATACTTGAGTGGCCTCACACTATCTACATACAAGGAAACACTTAGATGTCCAAGTGTTTCCTCTTCCCCAGAACCCTAACAAGTGAACTCAGTTCTATATCTTGGATATAGTTGCAGAATTGCAGTTGGAATTCTCGAAGTGTTCTCCTAAGAGGTTATAAAATTTGAGCTAAAAGGGAGGGAACACATCAGTTGGCCAAAGATCTGTTGGTAATCTATCTGAAAGTCAAAAGAGAATAACCTGGGAAGGATTAATATATTACTTCTGAATTACTTTGACCTGCTAACGTTTTGCCATAAATCTGCAGTGAGCATGTGAAAACATCTTTCTTTTCAGGAGTCACCAGTGTGAGAGGGTTACATATTGTTTTGCAAATTTTGTTTAAGAGCCTACCCAAGAGAGAGGTGTAACTTTCTGCAGCTGCCAATTGAATCAGTATCAATGCCAGTTGGTTGGTTTGTTTTTTCAATGAATTGCAAATGCAGGGTGCTCAAAGACTAAAACAATCCTAAATAAGCTAAACCTTAATTGGAGAGAGAGTTTGTTTTAATCATGTAGCTGTTCCTTTTGAGAGGTGCTAGTTGTGCTCTAAAGACTTCTTCATAGCAGGAGGGAAAGTCTACAGTTGGTGAGCCAGGAAGAGACAATATGTCAAGGATTAAAAGTTAATGATTCAGGCACTGCAGGGATCCTCTTTGCTATTGCACCGGGGCATTTCTAACGTGTGTGAGACTGTGTACCTGTAACTGTTACGTGTTTTATAGATTCAGGGATCTGAACCTATAAAAGGTGACTTAACCCCACTAGATTTTATTTCCATGTGTTTATAATTTTGATACAGATAATCCGTTTTAAGTAAAAGAAGTGGTGATTTCTGATAACGATTCATAGAGGTTTTTGTTACTTTTTTATTGGCTTCTTGATTTTTTGAAGAAGAAAATGTTCTTTTTTGATAGGAAGTGCTGAAGGATGGAAGAGATGAAAATAGACAAATTCACCATCTGTAGAGTTTTGAAGTTAATTGAGAGGGTTGGTGGACTGAAATGTCAGAATTTTTCAAGACAACACTAAATGGGAGAGTTAAGGACAGAGACAGACTTTTCAGTTGTCTGTTGTTTTGCTTGAACTGGCTTCAGGATTTACATGGTTTGGCAATAAATCCGTGTGAATACTTCAATTGCCTTATGTAAAAAATGTTTGGCTGTGCCCCCTGGATTGGTTTACCTTCCAGTAAAATCATGAGTTCTCTTTTATATATAGTTGTAAATTGAGGTTAGCAAGATTTGAGTTTTGCTTGGCCCACCTACAGCCCCCCAACTGCATAGCAAATCATGTTGGGGAAGCACCACTTGCACAGTAACAGCCAAACTGCTGACCCTAAGAGAAAGAGTGAGGGCTCTGCCTAGGAGGAAAACCTGGGCTGGATTAAAGTGCTCCTACCATCCAGATTTGGATTAAACTGTGGAAATTGCATTCATTAAACTAACAAGGGGAAACTGGCACTACATCTTTCTGATAAAGTTAACAAAAAGACAGTATTAATGTAGCAACATGAATTTAGACGCTAGTGTGAACAGTTTAATTATAGTAGTTCATATGCCATCTTATTCAGATATAATGTAATCATGCAGTGAAGATCAGAATTGGGCGTTGAGCTGAATGGAGGAGGCACAACCAATGACTCTTTCTGCCATTCTGTTTCCCTGAAGAAGAAAACCTGTGTGTCCCTGTTGCATATTACACTTACTCTTCAGGAGAATTGTAGCCAATTTCAGGACAAACTGGCAGGGAACACTTTGCATAACTGTTAATTGGTGTCCAAGGCCATATTTTATAGTAAAGGTATTTGTAGTGAACTAATTTGAAACAGAACAGTTTGATTAGAAAAGTGCAAGTATATGACCTTAGTAAGGGAATGTATAAGTACAGTAGTGGACTACTGAGTGGAGCCATTAACATTTACAACTCCTGAGCTCATTTAGTTTTGTTTACATAACCACATTGACGTTTGTTTACAGTACTACTACCATGTTACTATTGCTACTTCTTAAAGATTACCAGTACAGTTCACAGTGACATTCAGGGTTCTAAACGAACTTTAATTTGTAAGGTAAACAGGATTTTCATATTTTATGATGAAATACACATACATAATTACAGAAATGTATATATTAAACTAGGGGCAGGTATGACTCATGTCTTATTTTAAGACAGCAGTTCAGAATGATTTAGCTAGTGTTTATTGATGATTTTTACTATGTACAGTTTACCATGGAGGTAACCTATATCAAATGTGATTAGTATTGTTTACTTTTCTGTGTTTTTTTTTAACTGAATCATTAAAGCCATTGAATTGAGTGAACCAGTGTTATCCTTTCAAAGTTAAGGAGAAGTTAACATTTTTATTCAGAGCAATAAACTGAAATGTGTTCTTTAAAAAGAAGTAACATGAAGAGCTCTTTAACACATATATTGTTAAAAAAAGCCCAGTTAACTGTTTGCTTTATCAGAAGACACTTCAATGTAAACTATATAAATCAAAGTTCAAATACTTCCCCACATTTATAGATAAAGATATATTGTATGTAATTGTTTGAGGTTTTTATCCTTCTAATGAAAAATAATCAATGACTTTTAGAAATAAAGATGCATTGGTTTTCATCAGTCACTTACCTGTCTGTTTTAAAGAATAGTATGCTTTTGTAATTTCAAACCTGTATCCTGTTGAGAGCAAGCTAACAAAACCAAAATAGCTGAAAACAGAAAAATAAAACAACCATTCAGAATTGATCAGTTTAATTTAGTTCTGCTTCACTCTGAAAATGTGCAGGCCTCTGAAAGCTTAACAAGTACACTTACCTTCTGAAATATAAATTAAATTGTGCTTTTATTAGACATCTTGAAACTCTTGTTATAAGATGACTGTCAGTTACCATTCAGTTTTACAAGTGTGAAATAACCCCTTTGTAAAATAAATTTGTTATGAATTAGTGTACATGTTTCTTTCCTTATGGAAACATTTTTACCCAGTTCCTCCTTTAGTGTAGGTTGTTCATTGCTTTGGAGCTGTCATGTCCAACAACTGAGGATCTGACTGTTGGGCGAAATCCTACCTCCATTGAATTCACTAGTAATTTTGGCTTTAATAAGGTCAGGATTTCTATATATATTTTATCCGGAAAGCCTTAATCAGAATTCCCAATAAGTTAGTAGTAGTTATGCATAAGTTTTGACTTACTTGGAAGTTTCTTATTATAGAATTATAGGATTGGAAGGAACCTCCATAGGCCATCTAGTCCATTCCCTCCCAACCTGCATAAGTATTTTTTTTCTTGGTTAAGGATATTAGAATTGGGGGCATTATCTTTGGGGGCGGGGGAGGAGGAGTGGTTTCCCAAAGCAACATTTTGTCTGAAACATGTTAAACAGCGCTAGTGGAAAAACTTAGTTTTCCAAAGTGTGATAGCAAATACTGAGGTCTGTTAGCTATTTTCTCCTTCATTTTACTTTCTCTTTATTTAAAAAGGTCTTATTATAATCTAGAATGCATTAGTTTTGAATTATCCTAAAGTAAGGTCTCTGAAAATAGGTAAGAACCTGTCTGATTAGATCATTATTCATAAAATCCTTACAGGAATATACTTAAATAGTATGAAAATAATATCTAAGAAAAATTCTCAAATTGTCGAACCAGAAACTTTGATTTACTTTTTCCTTTGTGCTCAGTTTGAGCAATAAAACTAAAGAAGTCGGTTTCACTTTTTGTTTTTTAGGTACTGATTGCCACAATGTTTTGGTTTAGAAACTGCATGGAATTGTTTAATTGCCTGTATTTTTTAAAAAATCCTTTCTTCAAAAAGTCTTGGTTAATTTTATGAAAACATTCAAGTACAAATTTGTTAATCTTTTTAAAAAGCTTAATTTTCCTTAGAGTACATTAATACTAAATGTAATTTCTCTTACTGAACTAGTGTCATGAAGTAGGCTATATACCTTAGAACTTACGGATTCAAGAATGGCTTGTCTCGTGTCTGATATAGCTGTGATTATAAATCCCCTCGCAGTTAACAAGAATTCCAATTTCACCTTAGATAATTGTTGGGAAATGTTCTTTTGCTTTTTCAGATTTTATTTTACCTCTAGTTGAGTGCAATAATTGGGTATCAAATTTGGTAACATAACCTATAAAATACATACTGAAAAATGTACATTTTATAAAATTTTCAATTGTTTTCATTTATGGATGTCTGATTTAAAAAACTGAGGTAAAACACCAAAATCCATAAATGTATTTTGGATTTTATTGTGTTATTCAAATTAAATGTAGTTGCACTAAACATTTGAAGATTGTCATGGTTACTTTGAATCATTTAAGATAAAAAGATATAGCCTAAGTTGAATGGTGGGTTTGTTCTAAAGTGAACTAGTGTAGTGTAGTTGCTCAGGGCAGAGGAAATGCTTAGGTTGATTTTCTGATAATTTGATTTCTTTCAAGATAGCTGCAGAGACTAACATTAATTTGTGCTACAAGTAAAATATGGAAAGGAAGGTATGAACAGAAAGAGCATTAGAACATACTTTGTATACAAGGAGGAAATAATGTTAACTTCTTTGTGCTGGTTTTACTCTTAAAAAATACCCTTATATTGAAATACTGAAGTTGGTTAAAGGTTAAAACATGGCATGTGTACACCATAGTCAGTTTAACTAATGGATCTCTTCCCCCATTAGGAAGTTAGTGTATTGTGTATATATAATCCAGGAATTTTAGTTTCCGTTTAAACAGATCTCGTCAAAAGCACTTAACAATATGTCTGTCTTGGATCTAGTAAACAAAAATAAATGCTTAATAGGTTTAAC